TGTGGAACCAACCCAAAAGGCCGCCCAGTTTTCCCCCTAAGATTCTAGACCAGAAGAAGCACAATAGCATTGTGTGTTAAGCTTCTAACAGAGCAAGGGATTGTTTCAGTTATGCAAAATTTTAAAAGCAAATACTGCATGTAGCTTAACTAGTATTTCCTATATTTTTTCTGGCCTTTAGTAGGAGGAAGTTAGGAAGAAAAAAATGAGCCAGTTTATCAAAAATAACCATTTTTTAATTCCAAATTGTAAAACGGCACTCGTGATTTCTAATATGCAAATTTTGTCCCTACAAACACAGCATTTAAGTAATGTATTAATAGAATGAAGGACCCTTTGCAGTCGGACATGAATCTGCCTAGGCTTTCTCAGTTGTCTACTTGGGACCACCCCGGGGTGCATCCCACTCTTTTGTCCATCTCTCTCTCTGCCAGGTTGGCTCCCTCCGCTTGACCTCCCTGTGAATGGCACATTAACCACCACATTCCTGTCACCTTTCCTGAGGAACTCTTCTCCAACTAAACAGCCAGGTGCCGCTCCCTCACCCTTCTCCAAACACGTACTTGTAGCTCTACTGCGGCACCTGTTACTCACAGTAGCAGCTTTCAGATGTCCCTGGGAAGGCAGATTAAATTTAAGTGAAGGTGAGGGTATTAAAGTTCTTTTAGGATCCAGTCTAGTGAATACAGTTACATTTCCTTCTTTGTTGCCATTACTCTGGATAATTTAGCAATTTTAGACTTCTTTTCTGTTTTTTGTTTTGGTTTTTGGTTTTTTGAGATAGGGTCTCATTGTGTAGTTGAGACTGATCTGGAACTCACTATGTAGCCCAGGCTGGTCTCGAACTCACAGTGATCCTCTTGCCTCAGCCTCCTGAGTGCTGGGATTATAGCATGTGCCACCACGCCCAGCTTAGACTTCTTTTCTGGATGGTGGTGTTGAAGGTAAAACCCAAGGCAAATACTTGACAAGTGCTCTCCCCTGAGTCACCTCCCCAGCATGAAAATAGCTTCTTGAGCCAGTGCCCACCTGTACTCCCAACTACCCAGAAGGCTGAGGCCTGAGGCTCACTGGAGCTCAGGAGTTCAAGGCCAGCCTGGGCAATGTAGCGAGACCTATCTCAAACAAAAACAAAAAGAAACTCAGAAAACGTTTTCTTGGTTCAATATTTTTATCACTATTTTATGCTCTAAATTAAAAATTCTGATGGAAATAAGAAAAAAATTACTAGGCAATGTAAGAAGAGAAAAACATGATATTCCATATAAAGAGGTATTTGCAACAGCTCCATAATTGCATGGGGACTTGAATTTATTAAAAATACCACTAATCATTTTCAAACTTTATACATTTCCTATAGTCAAAGTCAATTCATATTACTAAGAAGTCATGTGATCCAGTACTGAGTCACATCAAGTATGATATATTAGCAAATTATAGCTCACAGTTTTTAACTGATGCCTATGGATTTTAAAAGGTAGGGGAATTTGCACACAAATTTGGAAACTGAACAAAATATAAATACATGAATAATTTTTACTTTAATTATGAACTGACTTTAGACCCTTGAAATCAAGCTGTATACAAACTATTATGAGGAACTATTTCTAGATTAGTACTTTTTATTCAGTCTTCCTTCAGATTTTTCTCTCCCTCCAGCAGGAATATTTCAAAGAGAAATGACTCAAATGTAGTAGAAAAAAAAAGCCACACACAAAACATGGTAATATATTAGCAAACCATACTAAATATGTAGCAAAGAAGAGCTTGGCCTGGGGTGGAGAGAAACTCCCCACAAACTGCTCGGCAAGGGAAAGGAGAAGCTGGCAAGCAAGGATATTTACTTTTTTTTTCCTGCCCTCTGGTACCGGGGATTGAACTCAGGACCTCGCGCTTACAAGGCAGGCGTGACATCACTGAGCTAAATCCCTGGCGAGGATATTTATTCTTCACACGAGAACTGAGGGGAAGAAATGGGGAACACTGTATTTATAATTATTGTCTTGTCTTATTTCTGCTCATTTGACTTTAAGTTTCCTAACAAGAAAAAAAGGCATTATGAAGATCAGAAATGTATTCATTCAACAAATATGTTCTGGGTCATAGAGACAGCACAGCACGACAGTAAAAACAGCCTCTGTGTAACACGCAGGATTGAAATGCAAACTGGGGAAAGGCTGCTAGGTGAGGGCAGCTGTGAGATTCCTCCACCCAGGGGAGGCCCAGTGAGAAACAGTGGGACTGCCAGCCGGCAGGGAGCATGTGTGCTAAGGGCAGGAGCTCGTGCTGGGGCAGGAAGGCCTCACATCATGGACACGCTTTTCCTCTGAGGACCGTGAGGAGGGTGGCTATGGTAATGCTCTCCCTGCCACCCTGGTACCAGGGCTTGGGTCCAAGGCCTTAGCACTTAGCTACATCCCCAGCCCTTTCTGTTTTTCGAGACAAATCTCATCAAGTTGCTCAAGTGGGACTCGAACTCATAATCTTCCTGCCTGAGCTTTCCCCAATGTTGGGATAGCAGCACCAGGCTTGTTTTCCTGTCGGATGGGTAAGAGGCAGAAGGATTAGGGTGGGCAGTAAGCAGGCTGTGGAACCATCCAGGGGACTGAGAGTAACCTACATCCCTAAACCAGAGTAGTAACAGTGAAGGCTGTAATAAATTTTGATAAATCTTGAAGCGGGGTTTATTAGCAGATTTAATGTGTGTAAGAAAAAAAAATTGAAGAAGACAAAGGATTTTGGCCCAAGCATAAAGAAATAATAATTCCTATATATGATGTGAAAAAGAGGACCATGGTGACATACACTTTTTAATTCTTAAATTTCTTTTTAATTTTATCTGAATTTATTCTCAAAGGGCACAAAATTCTCTCTCTCTAGGCCAGATGTTAATAAGCACCATGCAGTACGACCAACATCAAATTCCTTGCAGAGGAGCTTTCCTTAGCTTCCACCTACAACCAACCAAGCAAACACAGAGCTAGAACCAGGACCAGCTGCCACAGGTCCAGTTATGGGGGCAGGTCAGGGCGGAGACCTTTACGGACGCGTGACAGCCAATAAAAATGAGCTCCTTATTTATAAAACAGAAACGATCACCAGATGAGGGGTCAGAGAGGGAGAAGGGATGGATAGGCCTCTTTTTTTGGATTGAATGAACTGAGCTTCTCACTGAATTATTCCACCAGCCTCCTATCTACTCCTGACTTCACCTGTCTCCTCTGGCATCTCACAGGAGTTAATAAATTTCGATCGTAATCCTACAGCTTAAGTTACAGGTAGACCTGATAGAGGCCACAGGACCATCCCTCCAAAGAACGTCACAGCCTTCCTCCTGAGCCTTCTTCTATCATCACATCCTCTCCTAGTTCACTTTTTATGGGAAAGAGGTTTGCCTGCAAGCATAAGCTTGAAAAAGAAAGGTTTCTCAAGTCATTAAAAAGATGAGATATACAAAGAACACATACCCCGACCATGTATCTTTAAATAATTTTTTTCTTAATAGCAATAAAATTGTCAAGTAATATGGGCAGGAAGTGCTGTACTACTGTATTTTCAGCTTACAATTTTTAAAAGGAACTTGCAAAGCCCACACTGTTGCATGCTATGTGGCGTACGGTCCTTTAAACCAGAGAGCAGAACACCAAGTTTGTCAAAGTTTCTCAGCACCGACCCTGGAATGCCCCAGCCTCTGTCCAGCTGAGAGTGCTTCCAGGGAGGTGGAGGGCTCCCAGCCAGCCCTGACTGTTTGGAGATGGAAGGAGAAAAGAGAAGCTATTTTAGCAGAAACAGAACTTCACTGATGAGGAGAGAAGGAAAATGCTGCCTTTTGCTGCATTTCTTCTTTTTAAAATTTGAACTTCATATTTAGAGTATGCTGGTAAACCCTGGAGAACGCTGAACCTCACAGAAGGATGGTAGGGCCCTCCAGAGGGGTCCAGCTTCCGGCCAGGGCTGGAGGGATGGAGGAGCAAGGCCGGCAGGGACCAGGCTGACCAACCCTTGGCCAATACCAGGACCTGGAGCCTGGCCAGCCCAGAGGAGCAGCTGCAGCTGGGAGCTCTTGTTCCTGCAGCAGGGCCCTGCCTGACCCTACCCAGGGGCTTCTACCCACAGTGCTGGCCCCCATGAAGCCAGAGGAAGGAAGAGGACAAACAAGACACCCTGCTAACTACCATGACTGCCAGTTCAACAGTTCATTTCATCTCCGTAACAGGTACAGACTTCCTTCAGGAAAGTTTATATCCTTGCAGAACCAGTGGGAAAATAGCCCAACAAAATGAACCCATTTCAACTTTTACAAAATATTTTTAGCAAATACTTCCTGTCACATGATTCCATTTTTACCACAGAGTGGAATTTCATTTCTATTTATAGAATTCAATTTCTCATTAATTATCTCTCTATTCAAGGAAACCACAGTGGCTTAATGCTGCTGCTAGTAACTTTTAGAAAACAAATCTGTGCCTATGTGCAATGTTATCTTAAACGGAAAAATAAGGAAGGCTCCCTCCTCTGAGCTTTGCCAAGACAAAATGGGGTGGTGTGAACGTCTGTCTGTTTTACCAGAACAACTTTCTGTGAGCTGCACTAGGAGGGTCAGTGATAAACATTTCTTAACTTTGATTATACCAGAAACAGAAGAAGAGAAAAAAAGAGAAAGAAACAAACAAACTTCTGCTTTCCTTCTCTGCATTCCTTTCCCTTAAAGGCTGAGTTTTCAAACTTTATAAATGTTAGTTTTATTTTTCTGGCCTAATTTTTAGCATCAAACCAATCTGTAGCTTTGTGTTAACCCAGAACAAACCTGGAAAAACCAAAAGCTGTGGAAGTATAGACTTTTTAATCTTGAAGTTGAAGAACAGTGAGGTTTATTCTCAACTTTAAACCAAAACCAGACCCCACCCTGCCTTAGGTCTCTCAGCATGAAGTCTCCACGACCCCCACACTATGAAAGGAACTCAAGAAAGACTTGCTTGCTGCAAAAGGAAACCACTCACCTTGCTCGGTGGTCGTGACTTCACACAGACTGACAATCGGTGTGCTCTGCGCTAGCAACAAAGGGTCTGGCTTTTCTGTGCTACAGTCCATGAGGACAGAATTCTGCTCCTGGGCGTACAGCGCCAGGGCATCCGGAGATCAGCGAGGGTCAGCCAGGAGCTCTATGGAGCTCAAAGTACTCTCAGACCTAACTGCCCCAGAGACGGCCTCCTGCACGGTAGTATGCCACACCTCCCCAGGGGAGGCTGCCGCTGTGTTCCTCAAGAGACCAAGTATCTGAGGATGGAGAGAGCTGTTTGTTACAGTAAGACAAACAGTGGAACTCTTCAAATGCACTAGAAATATGGTCAGAAAGGGGATGGTTTATAAACTGACCAATGCCTGAACTATTAGTAATCCTCTAAAACGTTCACATGAAAACAGTTTTCTTCTCTTTTAACTGGGTCCCTGTACTGGACCGAAGATGTCACAGTTTCACAATTCACCAGCTTAAGATATTAAAATCTCTCATCTGAATGACCCCAAATGCCACTTTGCTCCTTGTGGCCTTACTTTTTAGCACAGACCGTCAATTTTTATGAATAAACAGTGCAGAATGCATAAGCACTGTGTCAATTTCTTAAAGGAAAACAAGTTTCAAGTTATTTCAGAACATTGTTTAACTGATAAAGTATTTATTGCTCGGTTTTATACATCTTTATAAATTTAGATAATCTGATCAGTACTTTAAATTTTTCTCAGGACCTTGAAAAATTAGGAAATGCCAGAATAAAAGTATTTATGAAATCACAAGTGAGGTAACGGTTCCAGCACTCCCCCAACCTGTCAGACAGGGTGGTCTCCTGGTGCAGCACACACCAGTCACTGGACAGCTGCTTGCATACACCTCGCTCCGACGTCAGGTGCAGCTGGTGTGTCAGAATCTGCATTTCGAAAAGCTCCCTGGTTTGAGCCAGCACTTGGGGAAGGGATACCTTCAGCAGCACTTGGGCCGTCTGCCTGTTGTCACTGAGGCCGCCTTAGAGCACCCAAGTGCCTGCCCATGGGAATCAGTCCATGCCACCGAGGACTGACAAGGGTGAGCTGTCTCTCTGCAGTCCAGGAGGGGACACCTGGACACCTACACCTGTTTGTCAGGAAATGTGAGCCATCAGTCTTCTTAATAAAAATGATAATATTTAATAAATTTGTTTCTAGCAGCCAAGGAGGTGGTTCCACGGTAAAACACTTGCCTGGCATGTACAACACTACAGTTCCATCCCCAGTACCACAAAGAGTAAAACACCATCTTCACTTACTCCCACAACTTACTACTTACGCCCACAACTAATCTAAAAAATAAAAAAATAAATATGAGAATACAGAAAAATGAAGTCAAGGAGACGAAATCTGAATTGTCTTTTATTTCCTTTGCAAACTCTACCCCGGTGTTCAAGTTTCACCATGGCAGAGAAACTGTTTGGATTTGATTCCAAGAACACTTAGACTTGGCAAATTTTAGTAATGTAAAAACCAGACCATTCCATTCCTCTGTCACAAAAATGCCCCAACATCTATACTTCCTACGCCTTGATAGTAATATTTAAATTATAGTTTCAAGTTTGGTTTTAAGCAAATTCCATTTGTTTTACATTTACTTTGTGTTATGTCAAGCGTGTAGCATTTGATTAAATCTTCATGTAAGGTAATAATTTATCACCATTTCACAGATGATGGTAATTCATCACCATTTTGCACAAAGCTATGTTCAAGAGGTTAAAAATGTTGGCTACTCGTACTGATAAAATGACAATCTTTAAGAAATTAAATTCACATTTTACAACAAATTAAGATACAATGGCATTCATTTTTTTCTTTGTAGAAAAAAGCCTGAAAACCAAAACATGGATTATAGCTAGGAAGTGATAATTAAAATACAGTCAGCTTATACATGGGGCTAGGGGCCTGGTTTGGTTGAAGAGCAAGGTGCTTTACGTGCTCACCAGTGGGGTTCGTTCCCCAGCCTCAACAAAAGACACAAACTACTGTCCACAAGTGTATCATCTGCAATTTTAGGCAGTGTCTACCACAAACATAAAAGTAAATTCTAGATGAGGTAGCTGAGTACATCTGCATTTGTTTTTGTGTCTTCCAGTCTGTTCCACTGATCCTCAGGCCTATTTCTTTGCCAGTACCATGCTGTTTTATCACAGTAGCTTTGTAGTATAGTTTCAAATTGGGAATTGTTACACCTGGTGCCATGTGTCTGTTGCCTAAAATGGCTTTTGCTATTCTAGGTCTCTTATGGTTCCAAATGAATTTTTGGATTTTTTTTTCTAGTTCTGTGAAATATACTGTAGGAATTTCAATTGGCATTGCATTGAATGTATATAGCAGTTTTGGTAGTATGGCCATTTTTACTATGTTGATTCTTCCTACCCAGGAGCAGGGGATATCTTTCCATTTTTTTTATATCTTCTTCAATTTCTTTTTTCAGAGTGCTGTAGTTTTCAGTGTACAGATCTTTTGTTTCTTTTATTAGACTGATTCCTAGATACTTCATTTTTTTGGATGCTATTGTAAAAGGAATTTTTTCCCTTATTTCTCTCTCTGTGTGTCTGTTATTTGTGTATAAGAAGGCTATTGATTTTTGGGTATTCACCTTGTATCCAGATACTCCACTGAATCTGTCAATTAAGTCTAGAAGTTTTTTGGTGGAGTTTTTTGGATCTTCAATGTAGAGTATCATATCATCAGCAAATAATGATAGTTTAGCTTCTTCCTTTCCTATCTTTATTACTTTAATTTCTTTCTCTTGTCTAATTGCTGTGGCTAATGTATCCAGAACTATATTGAAGAGAAGTGGTGATAATAGGCATCCTTGTCTTGTTCCTGATTTTAACATGAAGGTTTTCAGTTTCCTCAGTGGAGGAAAGATAGCCTCTTAAATAAATGGTGTTGGAAAAACTGGATGTCAACCTGCCACAGATTAAAATTAGACCCTTATCTTTCGCCATGCACTAAATTAAAATCCAAATGGATTAAAGATCTAAATATTAAAACAGAAACATTAAACTTGCTGGAAGGTAAGTTAGGCAGAACTCTGGAAGACATTGGTATAGGAAAAGACTTTATGAACAAATCCTCAGTAGCACGGGAACTAGCAGAAAGAATCAACAACTGGGATCTCATCTTACTAAAAAGCTTCTGTACTTCAAAAGAAACCATTAGCAGAACTAAGAGACAATCTACAATGTGGGAAAAAATTTTTACCAGCTGTACCTCAGACAAAGGACTATTATCAAGGATATATAAAGAACTCAAAACAATCAGTCCCCCCAAATATAAAGACCCGATCCAAAAATGGGCATCCGAAATGAACAGACATTTCTCATACAAAGAAGTAAAAGCAGCAAGAAAATATATGAAAAAATGTTCCACATCACTGGTCATTCGAGAGATGCAGATGAAAACAACACTGAGATTCCACCTCACCCCACAAAGAATGGCTGCTATCAAGAAATCACACAATAACAAATGTTGGCGGGGTTGTGGGGAGAAAGGAACCCTCCTCCATTGTTGGTGGGAGTGCAGACTAGTGCAACCACTATGGAAATCAATATGGAGATACCTCAAAGAGCTTGGACTGGAGGTTCCATTTGACCCAGCCATCCCTCTGTTGGGTATCTTTCCAAGAGAACTAAAAGAATCATATCACAGAGAAGTATGTGCACCCATGTTTATAGCGGCACAGTTTGTAATAGCTAAATCTTGGAAACAACCTATTTGCCCATCCGTTGGAAACTGGATAAAGAAGATGTGGTTTTTCTATAAAATGGAATATTACTCAGCCATAAAGAACGAGAAAATAGATTCATTCATAGGAAAATCGATACATATTGAAGATATACTCCTAAGTGAAATAATAAGTCACACATGTGTAAATACTGAATAATTTCCCTGTTGTGAATAATCTGCAACAATGCATAAGATTCTAATAAGATTACTGACATTTAGAAATGGGAAGAAAGGAGCTAAAGGTGTAGGGAAGGTGGGATGGGTAGGGGAAGAGTAAAAAGGAAAAAGAAAAAAATGTGAGAGAATGAAAAGATGAAAATAAAGTGTTTGTAGATGGGGAGGGGAGGAGGGGGTGAAGGGAGGGCAGAGGTAAGGGGAAAAAATGAGAATCAAGACTTGTCATGTAGAGGTACAAGGTCCCAACAATGAATGTAACTGTACTGTACCAATAAACTCAATTAAAGCTGAAAAAAAAAAAGCGAAAAAGAAAATGTACATGTGACAGAATGCTATTTAGCTACAAAAAAGGTTGAAATATTGTCATTTGCAACTTAGGGATATTATGTGAAGTAAAATAAAGCTGATACAAAAAAAAAAAAAGTAAATTCTAGGTGATTCCATTCCAGCCACGGCAGCTTCTAACACAGTTAAGCAAGCACTGTCCACGTGGCCCAGCAGTCCCAAGTCCTCAGTACTGACCCACACAATAGCTTGCACAGGACTATAAAAGTCTGGCACGAGGACTTTATTTCTAACACCAGATGCTGGTGGTGTGGGAAATAACAGATCACAGAAGGGTGGAAGAGAACTTTGGAAGATCATGTTGATGTCAAAGACAGGGCGTGGCAAAACTGCCTGCAGCCAGAGAAGGACTTGTCAATCACAAGATCCCAGGGCAGCACAGATCTCAGGACCCCTTGGGTCAAACTTCTCCAGAGCTTCCAGATGTGGAAAACATAAAGAGACAAGACGCCACAGAGAGCTGCGATCCTGACTTCTCATGGTAGCCCAGGTCAGAGTACACAGAGTGTACTCTTATTTTTGCTTTTCTTTTTTTTTTCTTCTCTTGTTCTGCCCAAGTTTGCTCTGCAGAGATGGTCTGTCCCACACTCACTCGTATATTTAATTTTCAAGGGGAACAGTCAAATACAACTTCATCGTGGTAGTGGTCACACGACTACACACGGGTATCAGTCAGTAGTTAAGAGCTACCACAGAGAGGGTGTGCTTACTGTTCGTAAATTGTCCCTTTTAAAAAAGGAACAGGAGTAATTGTCCTTTTAAAAAACACACTAGAAAAGTGATGGTTTGTCCATTTTGTAAATGTAAAGCAAAATGAGGTTGACTACGGGGCATTGCCTTCTCACATTCCACATTATAGAGACTGCACTGGTTAGCTGTACCTGTTTTCTGTGCTTTTCAAAAATCTTAACAAATTCAAATCTTGACTAAATCCTTTAGTTCAAGTGAACAGGTGAGCAC